TCATATTCATTGGCAGTTGTGGATTACACATAACGAATAATGCTTTTAAACATGGTGAAAATGGGATATGTTCCTTCTAATTTTTATTTTCAGAAAGAATTGTTGCTGCATAACATTTAGAGAAGGTTGCGTAAATTATGGATGAATAATTTCAGAAACGATGTTTAATAGAGTAGAGGAGGGGTTATGGAATAGTCATGGAATATGGAATACCTAAGATTTAGCTCTGTCTTTCATGCAGCCTTCACTTGGAAATACACAGGATTAAAGGATTTCACCATTAACACCTCATTACCATTAGTTATAGATTGTGCTGAAAATGATTTTGTGAATTAATATGTAAAACCAGTAGGGTTGTTTTTAAAAAAAATATTAATTTTAGTCCATAATACATATACTCTCTTCTCTCTATATAGGCAAAGCATTTAGGTATTACATTTGAAATTAATTATTGCTACAACAAGCATTGTTGCTTCTAGTAAAATAGAAGAGAATAATTTTTAAAATTGGTCTTAGATTAAGGTCCTTGAAAATTTTGTTGAGGTCCTTGAAAAGTCCTGGAAAGTCCTTGAATTTCAATCTCGTCATAGAGTGGGAACCCTGTAAAATTTGCTGCAATCTTATTACGGTATAATCATTAACCATTTTCATCTTGTACATCGCTTTACTAAGTTTGCACGAATTAACCAATTTTTATATGACACATTTTTTTCCTCTCAAATGCCCTTTTCTTTATAATTTAAGGAAATGAAAGAAAAAAAACACACATTGGTATGTGTTAATGACACTGGTGTAGTGATAAATAACGTTTTTAAATTAGGCTTAATAGATTATTTTTTATATCCTAATAGCTTGATATTCCGTTGTGTCCTGATGAATAGATTTTTTAGTTGTAAATAGATCCTTGAATTCGTCATTTTACAGTCAATCGGCGAAAATTCGTCGCTTGTAAATAATTGATTATGGCAAAGTAGCTGGTATTTGATCAATGACGGTGCAAGTAATGCTGAACGGGTGCGTGTTAATGTTCGTTGGTTTTATAATCTTGAGTGTAATACTCTTAAAACGTTTGTCAGGGTAAGGCAATAAAAAAAAATCAAATAAAGCATAAAAACTCTGGCTTTTCACCATACTGACGTTTTGCGCCATTTTCAGCATAAGCATAGCGCTGGCTTTAGAATAAACTTGTCCTAACAGTCGTGAGTAACTGTAGCAAACTCACTGCAGTTATGAAAATTGCATATTATTTGTAAAAAAGCATAATTCATATGCCGACGGAGTCTTGGAATGGGATAAAATTCTTGCGCCCTTTTGCTGAAAATTTCAATAAGCGTTTGCGCCTCTGCATCGCCTCGAAAGGCGGTCTATTTGAAACCAATTAAATTTATTTATCAGTAAAAGTCTACTCATATTATTATTCGTTATGTTTTGTTAATCTATTTATTTTTAATGAAGTTATATTAAAAATTGTTTGTTCGGTTTTTTCGCCTCAACCTGTATACTAAATTTAAAGTAAGATATAAAAATTTCCTATGATATCTACTTAGCCTTTTCTTCAATACTTGTTACATAAAACTTCCATTACAGACAAATAATACTTTTTGAACACATAAAGCACGTAACTCGTTTACTAGGATTAGTCACCAGAATCGAGCTTAAAATAACTATTGACAAATCTCAAAACCACAGAGAACTATTGTGGGATATTTTTTGTTGCTCATTCCCTTTACTAGTTTTGTTGTTATCATCATTACTTTATTTTATATCATAGATAAACCCAAAAGATTATCGAAGACCCAACCTAGATCAAATCACGTAAAGACGAGACTTTACGAAGATTGCAAGTAGTCAGCGCCACCTAACAGTCTATTAAGATTGCTATTGATTGAATTAAATAGTCTTTTATAATATATCTGTAGAGAAATGGCGGGTTCATAAGAATAAAAAATGAAATTTGTTTGAAAAAAAAACTGCATAGATAAACAAGTAAATGTAAGATATTTCATTTTTTATTAGGCAATGAACGATTGTTCAGCTCGTAAACCAACAATTTTTTTTTTTTTTTAATTGCAACAAAAATCTATTTGCTATTTTAATAAGAGTTGACTATTAAATTAGCTCATTTGAATAATACTTGATAAATAATTCTCAAACAAAATACATTTTTGTGTATCATAACTTATTTACACAGGGTAAGTAGCGTTTTTAAAAAGTGCTAAAAGGTGCTTATTTTTGATTTTCATTTTTTAAATGCCCTTAAGGTGCTGTTTTCATTGGGTGTTTTTAAAAAGTGCTTAATTTTTCCTTTTCCAAATTGAGATCTTTACCATGTTGATTTTCGCTACGAATTATGCAGAAAGACACTGTTCACATTGTTCTATTCAACATTTTCACAATTAATTCAACACCAATCTATTTCGGCTCATCGTCAGTCCGTAGCGCATGAAAACACCATTCGATTTATATTATTCAAAAATTTTGACACTCGTCAAAAAAAATTCCAAAAGATTTTTTTTTTTGACATGATGGTTAAAACCAGATAAAACTGTCAATTGTCAAAAACTTTCCAACCCTGCCTAATTATGACATTTTTTAAAGTGCTTAAAAATATTATTTGAGTGCTTGAAAAGTGCTTTAAAGGTGCTTATTTTTTGTTGAAAGATTTGGCTACGTACCTTGACTTATTTACAAGAATTAATTTCTTTGTTGAGACCGCAATGCTCTATGTGGCAAGACAATAAATCTTGGACTTAATCCCACTCAAATCTTGGGCACTGATAAAAATTCATCGGTCTCGGAGCTTCATAAATTAACGCCAAACTTATTTAGAATAATTTTTTTTTAATAATGCTCTATACTTATGAGCTTTTATTTCCTCCCAATAGGTTTGCCTCTCCTACTCCAAAGAACCATAGCTAGGACGATAGCACTGAGTGAATGCGTAGGAAAGGGACGCTATGGTGAAGTATGGAAAGGCAGGTACTTGGGAGACACAGTTGCAGTTAAAGTATTCTCCTCGAGAGACGAGAAATCCTGGTTCAGGGAAGTACAAATATATCAGACAGTCATGCTAAGGCACGAAAACATACTCGGCTTCATAGCGGCCGATAATAAAGGTCAGTATATACATTCTTCCTATTTAAAGGTTCATATACAGAAAGTAATAACTTATTTTAAGCCTACTGGTTGAAAGATTTATGTATTACAACGTGATGAATGATATTATTTCTTTAGATTTCCACATAACGTAAAGATGACTTATAAAAGCAAAATAGATACACGTGCTTCATCGATTGGCAATTGAATAGTTAAGCTCTGAGAATGCATGTAATCAACAGAAAGCTGCCTTAAAAAACATATTTTTACAACTATATTGGGTTTTATTTAAAGACTTAACAGAATTAATTAGTTTTCTATTCTTATATTGACATAACATGTAGAACACGGAAATTTGAGTTTTTTGAAAATGCTATTTAAATACGGCCTTCTACTAGGCTATTCGATAAAATTCCGCTGATTTCTAATTTGATTCCTTTATACTCCACGCATTTAATTGTTTGAGAACAAATTTGATGTATGTTTTTTTGTGAGGGAGGGGGGTGCATGCTAAAGACGCTAACACATATAAAATGAAGAATTTCAAAATGGCGGCATAAGTTCTAAATCGCGTATTTATTATTCTAATATATTGTGTATTAATGTTGATTATGCTATCCACTGTTGCGAAAAAAAAGTTGGGAATAATAGCTTTGTTGTCGGAGAGTAAAAATAATATCTGAGGTTTGAGAATCATAACCTCATGCTAAGTTGGCAGTATTTAATCTCTCAGAATATCGCACCAAGTTTAAGAAGAAAACTCTAGCAATAAATCTATATTGTTTGCTATTTTAAAAGTAGTAGTGTTAAGGCCTCACATACCTTTTAATGCTTCAAAAAATCGATTTTTTTTTAATAATATTTTATTCTAATCTATGGATCTTTCTGAAAATTTGGAAAGAAAAAAAGCATAAAAAAATTCGCATTAGATCAAAAGTTATCGAAAAAATAAGTCATACATTTTCTTTAATAAAATATGTCCTGTTTTGTGTTTAAACTCATTTATCTCAAAATGCTATTTTTACACCTTGCGCGCACAATATCTCGAAAACTATTGATTAGAATTGCACAAAATTTTTACAGCAGGTCTCAAATACCTGTTTCTATAAATTAACGAAGCCATTTGAAGGTGGGATTAATGTATTGACATTTAAAAAAATGAAATAGCAATTTTTTTTGTTAAAATTTTTTAATAAATTTTAAAAAAATTTTTGCATAGAGAAAAAAGTAAAATTATTTGTTCATTCTTCGTCATTTTAGTTTTACCATATATTTCTATACTCACAAAAAAAATCAAGCAAATATTATGTAAACTTTTTCCAGAAGCTTGCGCGCAAATAAAAACAGAAAAATTTTATTGAATTAAAATTTCAATTAATTAAGAAATTTCTTAATTTTTGAAAAAAATTTTTGCATTGTTTTCAAAATGTAGACTATGTATAGTGTCATATTTCAAAATTTGGTATTTTTAGAATAATTATTATAAAATTGGCAGATGATTGAAAATTGCTCGTTTTCTCTCATTTTTTACCTATTAAAAGGTATGTGAGGCCTTAAATCATTACTGGTGGTAAGCTTACGCGGAAAGTCAAGTTTTTGTATATGTTTTATGTGTTGTTCTTATGTTATCTGTCAACGCATTTGGGATACGTTTCATGCACAAATGTTAATTGTGCATTTTTTGTTTTCAGATAATGGTACGTGGACGCAGCTATGGCTCATCACGGAGTACCACCCAAATGGTTCCTTATTTGATTACCTCAGTCACAATTCTATAGACAGTGCCACTATGTATAAAATGGCTCTTTCCGTAGCCAATGGCTTAGCACACCTGCACATGGAAATCCTTGGGACAGAAGGTAAATCGCATTGCCCGGAGATTTATTATTTTGGTTCCATTAATGGACCCACTACATCTTGAAAAACGGATTCTCAACGAAAATTTTATCTTAAAAATGGATCAAAGGATTTCATTTAAAAATTGGACCTCACTCAAACTCTTCTTTTGCAGAATGGAATCTTTAACGTCTTTAAGTTATAATTTTAAGAACTAACGGATATATNTTCAAATAATTTTTGAAACAACTTAATATTTTTCATATTAAGTTATATATGTATATATATATATATATATCGTTTTTGTAGTTTTCCCCAAAATTCCAAAAACTGGACCCTATTTTCATACATTTTTAAAATTATGTGTAAATTTTCACTATTTAAAAATTTTCATAAAAAGCCTGGAGTGATCCACGCTACCACTTCTTTTTATAAGTTACTTTGAAGTATAATAAATCTGTTTCGAAAAGTTTCATATATACGGAGAAAAGAATATCCTGGTAAAATGACCATACCGTGTACCGTCAATTCTGGTAAAATAAAACCTTTATTGTGGTTAATAAAACTAAATAATATAGTATTTAAACCATTCATTAGGTAATTTTCCCCCCATACGGTAGCGGTTAACCGGAAATTCTTTTTTTTCAAAATTTTAGTTCTTATTAGTAAAAAGTAAAAAACTGTAAAGTAAATTTAACCGAATAAATGGTTTTATGCCATGCTCTAAGGTATCATGATAAAGTTACCAAATTTTATCACATATATTTAAAAATAATATTTTATTGTAATTTTTCCTAAAGTGCTTCGATAAAAAGTATCGAACTTTTTAGTGTTCCATTAGAGCCAGAAACACGGTAAATTTTACCATCTCCTGGTAGTAGTTTTGACCCTATTTATTCCTCAGTGTACAAATCATTCTGACAGATTTTCTTCAGACAATTGTTTTTGTGGGAAGTAAGATTGAATTTGTTTTGTATTTTACTCAAGGGCTTAATGTGAAACGGTGTTAAGTCATAAAAACACAGACCTAGAGGATTAACATAGGATTTATTATAATATGTTATAGGACCTTATGACCACCTTTATAATGTGGTTATAGGACTAACAGGGAACCATTTATATTTTAGATACCGTAAAAAGCTTAAATCAACTTTATTATCTTTTTTTTAGTATTCGATTTAAAATTTAAGAGTGTATGTTACTTATTTAGTTTCGATTATACTTAGATGCTTTTGACTGCATTTATTGTTTTTATTGAATGATAAGTGTTAATTTTAAAGACATTTTTCATTCAATATCACCAATTTGTTCAAAAAAATAATTTTAAAAAAAACCGACTTGGAAAATAAACGACACATCCAGTTCAATTTTATCGAATTTTAGTAAATTCATATATTTAAAAATTTATTTCTCAGGAAATATTAAACAGATTTCACTCAAATTTTGTAATTCGCCATGTAAAATTGGTTACTTTAAAATGATGTAAAAAAAGTGTATCTTACATTTTATTCGACTGTTATTAGATAAAGTAATAAATATTTACTTCTTTTTGCAATGAATTATCTTTGCATAAACGAATTTTATATTTATGTGCAAAAAATTTTCAGTTCGCTTTAAAGACGTTGCGAAATACACAAAAAGTAATAAATATTAACATTAAGGGTCCAAATTTTGGATTGTCAAAAATCCAAATCGGTTGAAAAAAGATATGTTTATTCCTTTTTGTCTGATTTCGTAACTTGAAATATCGTCTGCACTTATTAATTAGCTTATTTGAGGTCACCCCCTCGAACCATTAGATAGAGTCCTAGAGCTTCAGATCAAAAATTATTCAGGGTATTCCGTTTTTTTTTTTTTTTTTTTTTTTCTTTCTTTTTTTGTGCACTGTACATCGAATAAAAATTTGAAAAAGTCATAGGGCCCGAAGTTAGCAAAGTTATATAGAACTGGAAAACAGTTCTAAATTTTACAGAATTATATCTGTTAATAACTTATAAGTAATATATAGCAGTTCAAAATTATATACAAACTATCATGCAGTTTGTAATTTTATAGAAAGGTAAAATAATTCTATAGAACTCTTATAAAATTCCACAATAAAATGTTTCATAACAAATCGAAAGCTTTCATAATAATCCTGATTTCATGAAAATCTAATTTCTAAAATTTAAAAGATGACAAATTAATTACAGTTAAATATACTGCATATAAGCATTTTATATTCTATGCATTTTTATCCTGAAATTAAATTAGACATAATGTGTAACAGCTTTATTTTTTTTAATAATTTATTTTTTGCATGTTACTGTGACTTGCACATAAAATTATTTACTTTATTCTCTTATGTGCTGATTTCGTGATTTCTGGCGTATAAGCGTTTCTTTCAGCTGATCGTCTGTTTGCATGTCTGTATAAACTAAGTAATAATTATTTTTTGTAAAAAACTGACCTCTCGATAAAAATATTGCGTTACCTCGAAACACTGTTGTTAAATTTCTTTGAAGTTTTACTTTAAATGCACGTAATAAAACCTAAGGTAAGCTAAGAGATTTTGCTCATTATTCACCAAGACAATTTAAAAAGTGGCAAATATTAATTCTTTGCTAAACTAGTAATAGTTATACTTGTTTTTTATGCATTTTCATTATTATTTTATTGTTATGTTTTAATTTTAAACAGTTGTAATAAAATAAAGAAAGCTTTTTTGTCCTTACTAGTTTTACAAAAAGAAACATTATGCATGAGTAGAATTAACAATAACTACAATTAAATCATAAATAATAATTACACTTAAATGAAATTGTAAGATTTTCAAGGTTTTTGTAAGCAAATATCATTATATCTTTTTGTATAAGTGAATATTTCAATTTAATAATTAAGCCTGAAACTGGGAGATTCACGCCTATTACAATGAGTAGACGTTTGTCTAATAAGTGAATATATGTCTACATCATAACCTGAAATAAATCCGACTATTGCCCAATTACCCTGAATTATTTCAGACTGAGATTTAATTCAGGCAATCAGCTCACAGAGCTTTTCCAAATAGCCTTACGCTGTGCAAAACAACCCCAACATGTTGCGGAGAGCTGGATATTCCAATTAGCCTTATGGCATTTCTAATACCTTGGTATTTCACTGAATTTCAAATACCTTTTAAGCTAATTATGAAAAAGGGTATCAAAGGTCAAATAAATTACTAAAGCTATTATTTTAAAGGGATTCGTTCCTCAAAAAATAAGGATGTTGTTTAAAAAAAAAACTATACAATTTATTGTCAATGTATGAATGTGCGGCATTTTATTGAATGTCTGATGTCTTTATACTTTACCGATTTGTCATCAGGGCAGATCTGTAGAATTCTTAGGTAGTATGTGGAATGTTTAATAGTTTCATACTTTGCCTAACAGTTTTCCATAAAATGTCTAAATAGAGATTTATAGGAATGCCAAATTTCAAACTGTATCAGTAACATATATGTTCTGTGTATGAAACTTTTCGAGTTCTAAATGTTGTTCTTTTTTGTTGTTTTAGGAAAACCAGCCATTGCACATAGAGATTTAAAGAGTAAAAATATTCTTGTCAAAACAAACCTCACTTGTGCCATTGCCGATCTTGGCTTAGCAGTTCGTTTCGATTCCATGACGAACACTGTAGATATAGCTCCTAATCCTCGAGTAGGCACAGTACGGTACCTTGCCCCTGAGGTACTGGACAACTCAATAAACCTCAACTCCTTCGAGTCCTGCAAGAGAGCTGATGTTTATGCCTATGGTCTAGTCTTATGGGAAATAGCGAGGCGGTGTAATATTGAAGGTACTTTTTCTTATTATCAAAAACTAATATATTCCTATAGAAATGCCTCTGAATCGGTATGCAAACTGTATATCGCTGTGCATCATTTATGCGTGCTTAAGGTCTCTGCTAACTTTATATATTGCCAGTACTGTGGTTATTGTTAATGGGTAGGTGGTAATTTTAGCTAATGTTTGATTTTGCTGGCTACGTATAATACTGCTAAGTCGTCTCCTTAGCAAGCTCGTATAAGGCCGATCAGGGTTGGGGAAAAAATCCGTTTTATTTTTTAAAAAATTAAAAACCTGAGATTTTATTTTTCTTTCTTTGATTTATACCGTTTTTTTTTTCTGTACATAAAACAAAGAATAGAATAATACTTTATGCTCGGAATAAAAAATATTAAAACTATTATAAAGTATAATCATAAAAACTGTTTCCGCTATTAATTAATATTATCGAAAAATATAAACAATTAATTATTATCCGTTTCTTCCATAAGCATCCTAACACGATAAAATAAAAAAAAGAATGATAGGAGATTTTGAATTTGAAATACATTGTGTTACAATTCAACTTGAGATTCAAATAAAAATTTAACATCAAAATATTATGTTAGTAATATATGTAAAAATAAAAAAAGATTTCCCTTTCGTTTGTCTCTATATATGAAGATGTCATACTTTAGCGTTATTTGATGTCTTTTAATTAACAATTTACAGCATGTGTAGCAATATAAGAGTGTGATATCTAGCTCATTTCTAATAATTTTGCTCAATTTTATTATTTTATACAAATATATGTTTTTAAAATTCCTTTCTACAACAATAATTTGAATTAAATACCTTTTAATTCAAATCGTACTTAATATCGAAGCAGAATCGAACTTCTGACTACACAGCTCCGATTGCAATCTCGTAGCTTATGACTAGGTGATAACTTGTAGTAGTAGATTCTTGTGAGAACTTGTAGTGTCAAAATTTCGCCCGAAATACTAACGATGTACTATTATTTGGAATGCTGTAGTCTGTGGTTCATATTTCTTATGATTTTTTATTTGTTTAATATTCTTTTTATTAGGTATCTATGAAAACTTCCAGATGCCATATTTTGATATGGTTCCTTGTGATCCCACCATTGAAGAAATGCGTAAAGTTGTCTGCGATGATAAGCAGAGGCCCAATGTTCCAAATAGGTGGCATTCTATAGAAGTAAGTTCAAATACTGTTTTTTTTTTAATTATTATTCTATTCAACATAATCAGTAGCAGCTCCTTCATATTATCTTAATAGATTTAGTGATACTTTAAAAAATATATCAATGATATTAATTTCTTAAAAAGTAATCTAGGGAATATAACATACCTGTGTTGTGTATGTGCCCTATGTTGTTTTTTAGAAAATATTTAAAATTNGTTCAAATACTTTTTTTTTTTTAATTATTATTCTATTCAACATAATCAGTAGCAGCTCCTTCATGTTATCTTAATAGATTTAGTGATACTTTAAAAATATATCAATGATATTAATTTCTTAAACAGTAATCTAGGGAATATAACATACCTGTGTTGTGTATGTGCCCTATGTTGTTTTTTAGAAAATATTTAAAATTCGATTTCTCAGCAACTATGCGATCGATTTTGGTCAAATTTTGTATTTTGCATTATAAAATTATGTTCTTTAAATTGATTGTATACCTTTAAATTTAAAATGTTTTTGACTACTATTAAATAAAATAATAAATTAATATTTTTTTTTGCCCAAAATACACAAAATGTCAAATTTATATTAAAAGTTCCAAAATTTCGACTGCTCCCCTGACCAAATAATTAGGACCCTACTTCTAAAATTGGGGCCAATTTTGAGGATAAGAATCCAAATCCGTCGAAGAAAAGGTATGTTTATTTAGAGAAATTAGGTTTTGTGTCTGATTTTGCAACATGAAATGTCGTTTGCACTAATGAATTAACATATTATCGGTCTTTAAGTAATTCAGATTGAGTCCTAACACGTGAAGATCCTTTTACTAAATCAAAAGTTATTCAGGACTTGCATTTTTTTTTATATTTTTTTTTTACGCATGTTCCATACACATACATAACTATATCTTTTTTCATAAGATTTGGATTCTTTACATTCAAAATATAGGGAGAAGCCGCAATCTAAAAATATGGTCACAGTTAAAGCTGGAGGACGCAAGTTTTGGTCCCATAATGTTAATTTCACTTTTTGGCTGTTTTGCTATGTATATAGAGCGTTGAAAAAAAATTTAAATATATTTGCACTGTATTGCAAATCTCGTTTACTGCAAAATATAATTTTTGCTGCTTTATTTTGTAAAAGATCGAAAAAATTTTGTGTTGCAAAGTATATATATATTTTTTACTTCATTTTGAACTACTTAGTTTTGAATGAAGAAGTTTTATAATTTAAGTAAAACCAGATTAATAGTTTTGAAGTAATGAAATTACAAAAAAAAATCCGATTTTTAAAATTTTATTTGAAATCTAATCCACCCATTCCTTTCAAATTTTAGATCTTGACTCTTAAAATTAAAAATTACGTAGATGTTTTTGTACCTTGCAATTCAAAAAAAATTGTCTATAAAAGATATAAAAAAATATTTTTACATTGAAACCTTTAAATAGGCGAATTTTATATTTGCTTTAAAAAATTTTTATTTTCTTATGTAGTTTAATAAATATCTCAAAAACTGAAGTTAACATTGAATGTCCCTAACTTTTGATCGGTCTTTCTAGCATAACAGTTTGGGACTTCCAGATTGTGATTGTTTGGCAATCAAAGGTTGCTTATTCTGCGTTTTTGCATCTGATATCGTAACTTAATGTAGTTGGAGACCGGGAGTTCTAAATACGCCGTTAATCCTTTTAATTTAATTTTCACAAATAAACTAATAATGGATATTTGCGCTATTCGACATTATCTTTCGATTCATGTAAAATACACGGCCGCCACCTAATCATAATTTGAGATACAAAACTTGCGGTAGTTTAGATTCACTACTCATTTTTCATGACAAAATAATGCCATTATGATTCTGCAATTAACAGTTTTTGATAAGTAGCTAAATAGTATACAGTTGCCTGTTTTTAGATTTTTGATAAGTATATTTGTTTTTATGCAATTAATGCTAAAAGAGTTTTTTAGCGTCATCCAAATCCGATTTCATCAATTTAAGCTGTAATAAAATTAGATTTTTTAAAAAAACTAAAGAACTTGTACCTTTAAAGACTTACACAATAACACAAAATGCATCATTTTATTGCTTTAAAGTTTTCAGTAAAAATTAAAAGAAGTTTTAAAAATTTCAAACACTATTTCTCCTTATGAAATAGAGCGAACACTTTATTTTCTACCTTTTCTAAAAATATATTATGCTGTCTAATAATACTATATAATCAAGAGTTAAGTTCAAAGAATATCAAAAAAATGAAAATAAAAAATTTAAAGATTTTTTTTTTCAGTATTGAAACGTTTTTAAAAAAAATACAAATTTGAAATAATAATCCGCATGTTTCAAGTGCTTTTTTTTTACAGTATTAAAACACTTTAAATGCATTTTAACTGATTGAAATAATAATCAGCATATTTCAAGCGCTTCAAAGCGTTTTCTTTTTCTTTTAAAGCGCTTGAAACACTGTTATTTCATATTTGTATTTTTTTTTTTTTTTTTTTTTTTTTTTTTTTTTGAAGCGAATGAAGCTTTTATCAGGTAGTATCTTACCTCTTCAGTTTCTTGGGATTATTTATTTATACTTGGGATTATTTATCTAACTTTTAATGCATGTTTGAAGAGACCCAAAATATGTTCCCATTTAGGGTCATGACTGTTAATTTAATAAGCTCTGGTTCAGATATGACAGATATGGTTCAGATATGATATATGGTTCAGATATTCAGACGTTTATAACTATGTAACTACTAAAATAATTATTCACTAATGTTTTTTCAGAATTTACGAGTGATGGCAAAGTTAATGAAAGAATGCTGGTATCAAAATGCTGCTGCCCGCCTTACAGCTTTGCGCATTAAGAAAACAATAACAGCCCTTGGAGCACCCAAAGACATGAAGATCTGACCCTAACCACCATTATAAATTCATTTTGCTTTTATTTGTTTTTGTTTTTTTCTGTGTTCACTCCAAGTGGAACAACTAAAGCCAGTGATTTCATTGGGTAACTTATTTACGTTAGTCACTGAAAAAAGAAGAAGAAAAAACTATGCTGCAAACGATATCTGCAGCTTTGAAATGAAATGAAGTGACTTTTCCTTGATAGTGGGTTGTATTTTTTACTGGTTAATCCTTGTGCAATCTTTGAAAGCTGAGCTTTCAATGCGTCTGAGTGTGTGATGAAAATTTCCCTTTTCTACTTCAATCCAGTAAAAATAAACCAACAAAATAGATAGAAAAGTGGGAAAAGTTTCGTTGCAATTTCCATTTGTGGAGGGAAATTCCATAACTCATCCTGCTGTCGAATATCATTAAAACAATGGTGCTATACTGTTTCGAGAGTAGAACAAAAAATTCGTAAAGTTTGCATCATTCATTAGATTTCTAAAACAACTTCAATAACAGATTTATTTATGCTTAACAAATTACATTTACAAATTTAATTTTCACGTAGAATAAAATTTTTTAAATTACAATATTTGTGTTTTTTTTTTTTTTTTTTTTTTTTTTTTTTTTTTTTTTTTTTTTTTTTTTTTNTTTTTTTTTTTTTTTTTTTTTGTTTCTTGTATTTTGAAAAAAGTTGAGTACACATTTTTGTTTAGTTCGAACCTTTGTCTTCAAGTTAGTGTCTAAAAAATTCTGATGTCTTAAATATAAATGATGAGGACTGCATTTCAACGAATGATCTCTTTTACTGTTTTTTTCTTTTTTTTTATTCAATCTTTGATTTGCAAAATAGTTTGTTACATTGCCTTTGTTGGTTGTTTTCTCCTGCTCTTCTCGAAGTATAAATAAATAATTCTCTTTTTCAATTTGAAATGTGTTAATATATATATAATATGTGTGTTTTTTTAAAAAAAATTTATTTGTTAGATTTTTTTTATTTAATTTAGGATGAATTATTTTTTGTTATGAGGCATTCAAAATTCTTTTTCCATTTCTGGATAATTTTATTTCTAAGGAAAATTTCTTAATTTTTTTTAGCTATTATCAATTGTTATTAAAAAATTGTTATACATTTTTAAACACTTAAACCTTATATGATGAATTCATTTGAAAATTCTACTCACAAATTATGGAAGTTGACATTAGAACTTTTAGACCTTTATGAAGATGTTAAAAAGACTTCAGTTTTTAGATTTAAGTTGTTTGTTTTTTTTAAAGTAGTTTCCTTTAATTCAATTTAAATTTCAAAATTTGGTTGTTTATTTTCTTTCAATGTTTATTCTTCACAAATTTTAACTCGACATTAACAACTTATTGAAAGCATTTTATTGTTGTATACTTCGAAGTTTATATTCCTTTAAAGAAATGGAATATAAGAATTTATGACTTTTCATAATCTTTCTTTACATTTAATGTTACAGACTATAACCTTATTCTCTGAAAATTATTTTATTTAGCTGAAATTGTAAAATTTGTAAATATTAAAACTGAAAAAAAAAATTTGATTCTATATATATATATACTGTTGAATATAGTACAGAAGTTGTGTACAAAATCTTCATACATAGTTATTTACTTCTAAAATTCATTAATTGTTGCTGTATCTTCACAAAGTTCTATAGCTATCAATTTGTTAAATATATGTTCTTGATTCTACATGTTAAATACTCTGAATTTTGAAAAAGTATAATCTCTCTATAACAAGTTGTAACTGAAAACTTATACTGCAAAAATTTTAACAAATGAATTCAAAATGTGCAAAGCAAGTGTTTCTATGCATCGCAAAACATTTATTTAAAAATGTTTAAATGTCCTAACTTGTATTTGAAATTATTTAACATTTTTAATTTTATTCCAGGTTATGTTATAATTCTTAACTTATTCAAGGGAACATTAAAGCCAATGACTGCACTAGGTGTCACAGCTTTTATTTATAAAAAAATTATGCAATAATCAAATTTTAATTAAATTTAGTTGTTAAATAAAAGGGAGTTTTGAAATAAATAAAATTAACGTTACTGATTAAGGGTTGTAATTAACTATTGACTCGTGGTGTATATTTAATTTTCAGTAATAAAGGGTACAGTGATTAAATGGATAATAACATATCGTTCCATCGCACGGAGTGATTGAATTGATCGAATGTTTAATTTAAGCGATTATTAACCAACAAATATCCCAAAGCACCTAAGGAACGATTAATATGAAAATAAAATTCGTCCAAGAGATGAGGAGAAATAAATAAATGAATCCAAACAATTGAAGATTAAAAAAATTGTTATTCAACTCTTTAAACAAAAGCAGAGATGTATCATGTGCCCAAACTGTTAATCGATTTTTTATAAAATAAAAAAAAATTAATGGAAATTTTAAAAGAGTAATCAAAATTATTTAACAAACTTTCAAAACGTAGGAATTAATTTTTTATGAAATTCAAATGTAATTTTATTCTATCAAGAAGAAATAAACAACAACTGAATGAATGATTTAGTTTTTAATGAAAAAATATTTTAAATGATTTATAATTTATTTAAATAATTAATTTTGGTAAGGTGCACAAAAAGCCGTAAATATGATAAAAATTAATTAAATTAAAATAACGCAAATATTATTTAGCAAAAAAAAATACTAAATTGTTGTTGCTTTATACGTATTAACTAAATTGCTTTATATTTCCAAGAAATAATATCACTTTTCCCAAATGAATTAGTACCACTTTCTCATTAATTTTGCCTTTCAATACGTAACTTTAGGAATGCTAATTTGGTGATGTAGTCCTTCCATGGTACCACGTTAACGTCGTTCATTGAATTTATCTACATTGAATTAGCGAATAAAAAGTTACTAAATATTAAAGTACGTGCAATAAACTCTTTTTTTGTCAAATAGAGATACAAGCTAGCAAATATCACTGATATTTTCTATAAGATATTTGAAAAACTTGAATCATCTATTGTTAAATTTAAAGCAATGGCTAACGCTTAACTAATCAGAAACTTCCACTTCCTTTTCGCTCATCTCACTCTAACGGTTAGTAATAAAATTTTCTAATATCAAAGGTGTGGCTATCAGTGCTATGGCTTATTATGGCTATTCCCATCGTATGACTTATTAGCCTATAAAGGACAGACAGACATTCATTTATATATAGTGAGACATTTTTTGAAGAAGCCATCTTGTTAACAAAAGCGTCAAGGTGCATTCTTTAAGGAGAAGTTCGTTATATAGAGATTCTACTTCATATTTTTTGGAGTTTGTATGATTTATGTATAATTTTTTAAAAAGTAATTTCTACTCTCAGTTCTTACGAAGATGTTTTCTGAAATGTTGATTTACTTTTTCATTTAGAAGTGTATTTCACTATCATTTTTATCAACTGATATGTTGAACTAGTCATAACTCTTACAAAAGTACATCTTTATAGTAACTGGATGCAGAATTAATAAAATTTTGTCTATTACAACATAAAATTCTGTTTAAGTTGCCTACATTTAATAATCCTCAAGAAAGTTTGAATAAATGCAATTTTGTGCAGTAAATTACATTTGAACATTTACTATGATGCGAAGCTAACTGCCATCACACTTAGCATTGGGTGCTGCTGTTTAGCCAACCGTAATTTAGCTATTCGTTGAAATGCATGTTAATGTGCAAATCTACAAAGTTTTAAACAGAAATTTTCTCTTCGCCATTCCATCCCATTATTAGAAAAGTGTTATTAGAAAAAAACTATTATGTATGTACAGAGTAAAAACTAACAATCGTGTTTAAAGCAATTTTAAATTTTACCTCTTTCAAATTTATGTTTACTGTCATTGTTTCCAAATCATAGAATTCCACTTACCTCCCTTTTTAAAAACTTTATATATA